AGCAAAGCACAACATTTTCGGAAACTGAAGACTTGGTGAAGGAGGATTTTTCCCCTTCTAATTTATTTTTAAAAATCCATACACTCTGTATTGAACACAACAACAACAGATGTCCTAGGAGTGAATGCAGGGCTGTAATTCACTCTTAAGGTTCTGTTGCTGTTCATAAACTGCTCAAGCGCTTTATGACATAAGCAGAGTCCCTCAAGTGAATTATAGCCATCTATCCACTTTGGGACCATACATTATCATATGTAACTGGCAGCCAAGATACAGTTGGCTCATGTCACAGACTGGCTTTGCAAGCAGATTTCTAATAAGGCAGAAGTGAATCTGTAACAGTAGGAGGAAGCTTATTTTTTATTGCACCCCACCCCTTTTATTAGGAGGGACAGGAGAGAGCAGAGCTTCCACAAGTTTCCTAGCAGGCTGAAAGATAGTGATTTGGGGGTGGGTGGGTAGGAATCTCTCTGTTAGATATACCAATGAATGAACTGTGGCTGCTTTTAAATCTTGCACGTCCCATGAAGCCGTCATTTCACTTGCCCTGACTGCTTTGCATGATAATGGTGGAGCTGTACATTATACATATGAAGTGATATGTGGAACAGGTGTTCTGTCCCACAGCAGGTTAAAATGGGCCATATTCCTTTGGGAAATAGACATTTCACAGCAACAATAACAACAACAACGAAAGAGGGACCCAGATGGAAGATATTTCTGTATCAGTGAAGCTTTAATATCGCCATCTAATAAAGATTTAAGATGTTTCTCATTCTAGCACAGTTTTCAACTTATGCCTGAGAATTACACCAGATACACCATTTTGTCAAATGCAGTGGCATGCACAAATAATTGACCTATCACAGCTTTATCATCAGCAATAAACAAATGCATTTTATTATTGGTTTCCTTTTTTTTTTTTTTTAGTCCCCAAGGTGAAGTTACAGAATGTTACACAGTCAGATTATATAGGCTGTAGCAAGGGTGGGGAACTTTTTTCATCCCAAGGGTTATAATGCCATTGGGACAAACCAGTCCTGTTATTGTGCTTAACTACTCGGCCTCAAACCCATCCCATTAGAATTTGTCACAGAGAACAACCACATGTCTGTTTCCTGCACTCTTATTTGGGTGTATTAAGCAGTGAGAGCATGAAACCCCCACTCTGAAACTGTAGAGTCTGCACAGTTTTGCCATATGCAGTTAGCTTGCATGTGGAGAACCAGTGTGTTGTAGTGGTTAGTGTCAGACTGGAATGGGGGGTTTCTGGTGTCAAAGCCCACTTTAGCCATGAAGTTCAAAGGGTGATCTTGGGTCAATCTCTCTCTCTCTCTCTCTCTCTCTCTCTCTCTCTCTCTCTCTCCCTCTCTCCCCCCTGCCTAACCTACCTCACAGGGTTGTTGTTAAGAAGATGGTAGGGGGAGGAGAACCTCAGAGTTCCTTGAAAGGCAGGTTAAAAATGTAATATGTATGCACTGCTGAATTAGAAGACTGGGGTCACAATTCCATTAACATGGATAGGAAAAAGGCAATGCAAAATTACTAATGCATTAGTGGAAGATTTTATACTGCTTCCCCTGCTCCACAAGGCATTATTTTCCCTCCCATCCAGGAATAGCAGCAGTTCCTGGGATGGAGTGTACATACCAGGCCTCTTCCTTGCACGATCATGAAAACTACATGGACTTCCAAGTGGTATCCAACTAAGTTTGACTCAAAGTAGATCAATTGATTTCAGTGGGTCTGCTCTGAGTGAGGGTGTTATGGGGTGTTAGCGAAGGGGTAGTACCTCTGGTAGAGAATATGTTGTGCTCCTTCTATGGTAATTTGACCACCTTTGCTCCCCAACCTGCACTCAGCTCTCACCCGTAGCTCCTATAAGCTGTCAGCATGTAACGGCCACACCCTGGGAAATGGCTTTGATTGACAGGCTAAACCAGGGGAGGGTAGCTGATGCGTCTCAAGCTCCTGTTGAGTTAGCGACTTCCCCTATATGCGAGGACAGGTTCCAGCAGATTGAAGACCAATAGTGGGTCCAAAAGTCAAGAAGGTAGCTACTGCATGTATTGTAGAGGGAAGTGAGGGGCGGATGGGGCTTGTCAACCTGGGAAGGTAGCTCATCTAGGAGAAGGAAAACTGATCCTAAACTTCCTCTGCCTTGTAGCTTTACTCATTCGTAAAAAAGTCTTTGGGAGTAAACCCCGAGAAAAATCTGTATCCGCTGCCTTGTGGGACATCTTTGGGGAAGGAAAAGGCTAAGGAATAAACCCTACACAAATCCAGTGTGGAGTCCCTAAGATGGTTGGGTGGCATTTTGTGTGCCTCCTTCCAGCAACTCCTGCAACCAAGCTGGTGGCAAATGTATTGCTCTGCTTTTCTTTGGACCCCATCAGCAAGGCTTCCCCCTGAAAGTAAACTTTAAAAAACCAATTTTATTCTGTGACCAGGATTATGTGACCAGAAATAACCCCTACCAGAAGAATGATGACATAAAAACATGTGTGTGTCTTAGCGTGTGTATGTGGTAGAGGGAAGGCATTAACTCACAGTTTCCGCCCATCCATATTGTGCTTTAAATCTCCTCCCCACCCACCAATCATTTTGTAAGAATCCATCCTGATCTGGGCTGGATCATGCCATGTCTCACCTAGCTTTCGTGGTGACACTGTAGTGACAATGCTGTCCTAGCATTCTGTTCTGTTGATTTAATTGCCAGTATAACAGCTATGGGATCAGGTTGGGACTGACATTAAAACACACACACACACACACACACACACGTGTCTCCACTATCAAAACATGTTCTATAGATTATTTCATAGGTCACTAAGTAGCCTACTTTATATACCAAAGTGCTGGCATTGCACAGAACCTTAGACTCAGTGGCACATAAATATTCAAGCGTGGGTAGCCTGCAAAAAATTGTAAAGATGAAATAAGGAAGGTGTGAAGTTAGAGGCTTGATTTATATGAGGGAAACTTGCACTGCGAATATTGCTGTGGGCCTGGCTCCTAGAGACAAGATTTGTTAGTACAAACTGTCTCTAAATATTTATGCTCCGCTAAATAATTGCTAAATAATTCCAGTTCTCAGCTGGAAATTCAGGATTTGGACTAGCTGAAATTAGTCATGGAGTAAAATGGTATATTGGTATTTTATACAGCAGGACTCTTATCCAATGACACTTGTAAGTTTCAGGATATAATTAATATCCCTTTATAAAGTGCTCTCTATGGCCTGACACTAGAGCACTTCTTTGAGAAGTATTTCGTTGAAATAAATGAAGCACTTAAAGGCAATATATTCAGGGTTATTTATCTGAGAATTATTAAAGACATTTACATTTTCTAGCTCCAACTGTATGAACTTCACTGCATAACCTTCTTCGCTGTAGTCCCAATTTGATTGTGTGTGTGTGTGTGTGTGTGTGTGTGTGAGAGAGAGAGAGAGAGAGAGAGGCGCACTAATGAAAGAGAGACAAATGATTCTATTACTGTCTTTAGGGCACTTTTTCAATGATCCATTTTGCCACCCTTGCCGATAGTTTCTGGGCTCAAGATTAATGATAGGTCCTCTCTAAGGGGTATTTTTATAGAGAGACTCTAGAAGAAATGATTTTTTATGAACATACAGCCATTCATTCAAAGTACCAGAGAAACAGACACAGCAACAATTGCTCATGACTAGGGTTATGTGGTAACAGGATTATTCTAAAATTAAAATCCAGAAACAAAGCAGCATTAAAAGAGATATGGTCAAAGTTGGGAATATTCAGGTAACAAAGTAAGATAAAAAATCTTTAGAGCATGAACCACTGAAAATTGAAAATTAAGCATCTCTCCCAGCTCCACTAAAGTGAATGCTACTGTAGTTAAAATACATTCTGCAGCATGTTCATGTACTTACATCTTTATTTACTAATAAAATCTAAAATATTCTACTGATTCCTCTTTTTGTGGGGAAGCCTCCCAAAATGTAACTTTTTAAATGTAAGACGGTAGATAAATAAATATTCATTTGCACTTAACTTTACCATGAAAACCCCGTCTCCTTTTTAAAAAGCATCAGTTTATCCAAACTGGTGATGGGAATTCTCTTCCAGTTTTTGGAAAACCCCTATCTTCTCCGTTTCTTATTTCTTGAACTTAAGAAATGGCTTGATGTGAACGAACTTTGGTTCTTTGAAGAAAATAAGGGCACTGAAACATGTATTCCCAAACTCGGAGCATGGGAAGATTCCTCAAAAAAATTATAATTTGGCATAATATTTGGATTGTTTGATTATGTATAATTTGGAATATTTAATGTTGTTTGATTGGATTGTTAAAGTGAGAAATTTAATAAATATTATTTTTTTAAAAAAAGAAGAAGAAACGTGTATTCTCCACACAACACAGAAATGATGTTATCAAACCATGACCTCCAATTACTATATACGTATTTGTCCTCTTCTTCCTCCAAAGAATTCAAGTCAGCATATAAATTTTCCAGGTCCCAAATTTATTTCACAACCATTCTAAAAATTAGGTTAGGCTGAAAGCCACACAGAAAGCATTGTAGGAATATAGGGTTAGGGTCCCCCTCATCTTACTCTTAAACTACACAACACAAGGTCTTGACTATGCCAACAGAAATTCTAGACCATGTGCAACAAGGGAGATGACAAAGTACCCAGCTGAAAGCTTGGGCCAAAACTGCTTCATCCCACCAGGTATTCATATGTCAACTAGCTCAGATGCAGGGATTAAAAATGGTGCATTGTTTTGTTTTGTTTCTATTTTTTTGGCAGAACTATTCAGTGGACTGCCACCAGAGAGGTGGGATAAAGTCTTGAAACTGGAAACGCATTGTGTTATCTGCTTTCTTTTCCACAAACTCACCTTACAGTCTGAAAATTAAACACTGGAAACATAGGAAGGAAGTGGGAGCATTGATAAACTGAGAAGCAAATGCAGTTGTTTCAGTTGTACATGCATAGGCAATTAGCAGTGTAAGTTACAGAACATGAGTATTAAAAACATGAGTATTGGGGAGTTATGTCAAAGCTTGCAGGGCAAGAGTTGGTTTTGAATAGGCCCCCATATCACACTAACGATTATTTCTAGGAATCACAATTAACCCCCCACTCTTAATCACATAATGTTACTCAACTCACTTCCTCCAGCGCGCGCACAGATAATTTATTTGCATGTGCCATGATGCACTGGCTACGAAATATGATGGTGTTGGACTTGCCTTTCAAATAGGAGTCTGTCCCAGTCACACTGAAAAGGGGTAATGAGGAGTCTGGTTTTTCCCCCAAGAACAAAAGGGGTACCAGAATAGGGGTGAAGAACCCTTCCTCCCCTACCCATGGCTACACCCCACCCCAGCTTCTACAAAGATACTTTTCTCTCAGTCGACCTCTGATTTACAAGTGAGCCTGGCTGCATAAAATGTGCCTGAGTGATGGGTCCAAAGGATCAACAACAGGGGGAGGGGGGCTATTGTGAACATCAGGTTAACCCTCTTGCACTCACCAACAGGCAGCACCTACCACAAGGCAGAGAGGGTTTAGGGGTATTCCACTAGTGTGCCATTTCCACTGCTGAAACTGGGATCCCAATCCTCAATGTGATATGCATCTAAAGATATGCGAACTGGGTGTAACAGCAGTTAAAGAAACAGATCTGTTGCTGTTATGTCTTGCATCAGTCTGAGATACCTGACGAGTTCTTCTTTCTTTCCTTTTTTGCATGGGTTGGCATTATAGGGTTCTTGACTAGAGCTAAAAGCCCCTTGTCTTGATTGTAGTAAACCCACCCAGTGGTAACCAATTTGTAAGCTGCCCTGGGAATATTTATATTGAAGGGCAATGTATTAGAAAATCAGATTAATTAGTTAATCTAGTTTAAATAGATTAAAAATTAGATAAAATTTTAAAATTTAGAGAGGAACTTTGGATACTTTCAGGCTACAGCATACAACAGAGACTAATCTTCTGGAGCTGTTACATATATTTGAATATTTATGCAAAAAAAAATCTCCTTTATGAAGTCTCAAATGCTCCAAATCTAGCTTAATCAATTAAACAAACATTAAATGTGTTTGAATATCTTCTCTCTTTCTCTTATCAATATAACTCTCAAATGCTTTCCCTTCACCGCCCAAGGTGATGAAAAATAGATTCATTTACTCTCTAACTGCTCATAATTGTGGTTTCAAGAAATTTTCTTCTGATTTTTGAAGCCACAAGTAGACTTTATGTGGCTCTAAAGCTGCAGTTGGTTTTCATCCCACAATACTCGAGGGTATCACTCTCCTTCAGGCAGCTATTGTTTGCAATCAGAAGATAAAGGCACTCTTGATAACACTCCCATAATCATGTTAATATTAATACTTTGGTAGATACTTTATCCTCTAGTGATAGATTTAAACAGTTCAGGGTCCCCCGCCTCTTATGTTCAAATCCTTACGAACAAAGCATTAGCAACTTGATCCACAGATCAGGGCAAAGGGGGTTATTCTCACAACATGTAAGCACAGTATACCCATATATCTGTGCAATGGCTGTATAACTATTTCTTACAGAGAGAACATGAATCTTCCGCTGCCTGTGCAGTCTAAGCACCATTTGTTTCCTATAATTTCTACAAGTTGATCTGCATCTTCTGAAGAAAAACAAACACGAGAGAGCCTTTCTGGGACTGCACAACTTAACAAGGACAAATGGGGCAAAGGTGTTTCACATAAAAAGGACCTATAGATAGAAAAATAACACATCTGGGGAAATGACTCTCACTGAAAATGTGCCAAGTCTGAGGGCTTGCTGGCTTGTGGAAATTGACACAATTATCCTGCCAGGGGGATTCTGGAAGTTGTGGTGGTAGTTACCTCTGCTGTTGGAATTGATATTTCCCTGCAAAACTGGAGAGAACCTGTTGCCACATCCACTGTTTTCACCCATTAATATGCTAGGTTGTTGGGGGGTGGCAGGGGAGGTGGGCGATGGAGGCAGGTGTTCAACATTTAAGTGGAGCAAGGCCCTATTTGACTTGTACCTCTGAAGGAAATTCATCCTCTGCCTTCCATCTTCCACCAGACATTTGGTTTGTAGATACGTTCTCCCCCTCCTCGTTTAATCCCCATAACAGTCCTGCGAGATAGGCTAGGCTGAGAGACAGTAACAGGCCCAAGGTGAGCATCACGGCCAAGTGAGGATTTTAATCCTGGTTTCGCAGGTCCTAGTCCAACAGGTCTGGAAGCCGCCCAGAGTGGCTGGGGAGGCCCAGCCATATGGGCAGGGTATAAATAATAAATTATTATTATTATTATTATTATTATTATTATTATTATCATTATCATTATCATTATCAAACTGTTCAACAGCCTGCTCAATAATCTGGTCCTGGTCAAAAACAGCTTCAATTTCAGTCATCAGAAAGAAAACTAATGAAGTGTGAGACCAACTATAGATATTTTTGACTGTTCTGCAACTATTTAGGGGAGTTTTTAATGTTTGAAGTTTTATTCTGTTTTTAGTCCTCTGTTGGGAGCTATCCAGAGTGGCTGGGGAAACCCAGCCAGGTGGGAGGGGTATTATTAGAGTTTAAAAACCTTTTGGATAGGAGATGGCATGGCAGAACACATGGAAGCAGTAGCTGATGGAAACTAATAGGTGCTGAATGAACAGACAGGGCAAGGAAGATAACAGGGCAAAAAGAAATAGGCTCACTGGCAGATGAGTGGAGGAGCTTCTTAAACCTGACTGTAAGCTTATAAGTAGATCTGATGCACTTAGGCCTGCAGATTAAAATTAGCTAATATATATATACAGCCATATTCCATACCACTTTTCGTATCAGGATAACAACATCACAGCCTGTGGGGCTATCTGCTTCTAGAAGAGGTGACTACGTTATTAGAGAGCATTCTTTGTAGTGCACCCAAAAAGCAGGTCTCTGTTTCTTCTGGTGCCTGGTGTGTATATTGATGTTGGTATACCCCCCCCAAAAAAATATCTCTGCTGAGCAGTGTACAAAATTCCAGCTGTTTGGCATTTAACCAGGTTTGTGTTTCCGTCAGGACAATAAGGCACAATGGAGACTATAGAAGGCCTGAGTGTCTTTTTGATATATGTTTTATTTACATATATATAACCAGAAGCTTTCAATGGAGGGGCTCACAGCAGCAACACCCAAAAACATGCTAGCTTACTCCATAGTAGCAGCATCAGCATCCTTTCTGTGCAACCTCTTTTGAAGTGCAGGGCACATCACAACCTAACTGTTCCTCTTTGCTTCCTGGTTACTTCACTGCCAACCCTCTTCACTAAACTAAACCCTTTTTATATACAGAGAAAGGCAGGGAGGATTCCATTCATTTGTATTCTAAAACCCATTTCCTTTGGTGCTTTGAACTCCTCATGGCTAATCCCCCAGGTGGTCATTCACAAAGAGATTTGGACTAGGACTTCAGTGTCCAATACGCAACCTAGGAAGTGTGCCTGCTTGAATAGCTTTTACATGTGCTAAGAACAGAAGATTATTAGTGGGTAATGCCCTATTACACACTTGGGTCTGCTATTTCCTCTAAGGAAATTAGCTTTGACGCCCCCTAAATTCTACCCCTATAAATCTATAACAATATGATAATCTCTAGCAAACACTATAGATACCTCAGATTGTCTTTTCTTACTCACCAGTGTTATTCATGTGCTGTCTGTGTTGAGTGACACTTGCTAACCCACATCCACATGACACCCTCATCAGGTCTCTATATCAATTTCACTGTGCCAGGGTTGCTAGAGATATGGCAGTGGGTGCTATCAGTTTGCTGAAATACCAACTGATTTTGTTGCTCACTTTCCTAATTACTTGCATACATATTGAATGAGACAACCAAACCTCCTTTTGTCAATCTGCCCTAAAATACTTGGTTTATAGGGGTTATTGGCAATCCTATGGCTCTACCACTCAAGATAATACCAATTCCACCCACAAAGTGCTCTGGTGCAGTGCTCTAGTGTCCTGACCATCTGTTTTGTGGAATGTGATAAAATCTCTTCTATAGGGCCTCAGTTCTAAACATGACTTCATAGCACTTCAAACCACACAATCTGACAGGATGAGTGGCACTGCTAAAAACCTGCAAGTGAAGCTTATTTTTAAAATGTTGGGGCTATTCCAGTAATTACATTTATCTTATGACAAAGGCAACTATGATGTGTGAAATAACTGTCAAGATCAAGTATAAAGGAATGCAGAATTCATCAATAGGGGCATGCTGATAAAGTAATTACCTTATTATTTGGTGAAAATGACCTCATTTGATATTGATCAATTGGCCTTGATAGACCCACAAAGTGAGAACTATGTAGAAGGTTGAGTGGAGATCTTTTGGTGTACAGCAGATTTTCTGTCTGAACTTTGCTCAGAGGAAAGTTGAGGTTGTTAAGTCGTGTACTGGAAGTCATATACTGGAACATGTCTGGAACCCTTAGGAATATTCATTTCTGTTTTAGTGGCTTTGACCTGCTTCAAAATTAGTAGGAAACCATGGTTTCCTCCTCTGTGAAAAAATCTACATATGCACTCTCCCATCTGCTTTCTTTTTCTTTTTTATGTCAGAAGAGGAGCCTTCGCTTTTAAACTAACCACCATTTCCCATGTTACTCAAATCCAGGGAACTGTGCTTAATTTCAACTAAGGTTAGTAAGAACAAGCCAGGATCAAACCTTAATTTCTTATTGCTTTTGAAGGTTACTAGGACTACAGAGAGTTCACAAATAACCTGATTGTAATGGTTTACAAGTACCCAGTGTATTGGTGGATCTATAGCTTTGGACCTATAGTGGACAATTGAGAATATCCAGTATTGTGAACTAGAAGTTAAAAACATACATAGCAATCAATCAACTTTATGGTCACAAATAAGATAGTGTTGCCCAAAACTAGGACATGTCAGGAATTTTCCTGACATATGGCAAGCCTAGACTAAGATCCTTGTCCATTGGGAGGCTATTCTTGTGGCTCCCTATAGTGAATATAAAGTGTGCTTTGCTGTTCAAAACAGCTGGTGAGCATTCTTTTGTGATCTTTGTCCCTATTCTATAGAACTTGGTCCATTATTTCCCATTTCCAAGAAATATTGTGTGTCCACAGTCTTTTAAAGTGACATTTTTGTCAGTTTTTTAACTTTGATTTTCAAACTGTCCAAGTTACTTAATATGTAACTCTTTTGATTACTATTACTATTGTATTACTATCGTACAGTATTTCATTATTCCTAGTTGGCTGGAAATGCCAAATACAGTGGGCCTGCCACTTACTTAGGTGGTTATGACTGAAAAATGAATGAATGGAGAGCAGGGAAAACCCATCACAGAGAAAGCTTGTTGGTTCCTCTGCCTTGCTTTCTGGGCTCTGAGAAGGTCACATGAGGGAAAGCCGCTTGCATGACCTGGTAAATGAGGCAGAGGGCTTGGCCTGCTCTGGACAAGTAGGGATGGTCATGCAGGGGGTGGTTCCAGGGGCTTCCTAGCTTTTCATGATTTTGCTGTTGTTCATGGACCCCCAGAACTGAACCCTTGCATAAGTGGCAGGCCCACTGTACTATTATTTGTGTATGTGTTTGTGTATTCAGATTAAAGCTGTGGATGTCTATATTGTATGCTTCCATGTGTAAAGGATTTAAAATTTAAGATTTCTAAACTGAAGTATTAATAGTTTTGCCTAAGTCTGGTGGGAGTTTGGATTCTGGGTGGCAACTGAACCAACAAGACAAAATAGAAAGTTACAGTAATAAACATAGGCACAACCTCTTAATTAAGGAATATGGAATATAGCACATCAAAGGGAAAACTTTTACCTATTATTAATTATGACAAAAATTTCTATCTCATAACATTTCACATAGCAACTGTCACCAAGAAGATCTACATTTTGAGCACATCCATCAGTTTTTATCCACACAGACACAGACACACTTTCACACAGAGCTTATTACTATTTCATCTTCCCTTCCATCAGCTTT